TACATCTCTCCCCCACCCCCTCCCCTCCCCTCCTTCCCTGCTCTCTCTCCCCTCCGGTACAGCACCGTAAGGTAGTGTGGATTTGCATTAGGTAATGCGAGATACGGCTGANTCTACGTCTTCCAGTCAACACGAACAAGTGAAAAAAGTACAGCACTATCCGTTTAAAACGATCTGCACCTCGTAGCCTACTATCGCTCAGTAAAAGTTAACAAAAGCGAGGGAAACACACATTGCCTGACTGCAGTAGCGTATAAGTGCTGCAGTTAAGTGACGTAAATCAAATGAAAACTTAAAGAGCAACTTGCAGGTTTTTTTCTTTTTCTACATTTATGCTTAAAACTTGCTTGCAGGATTTGATATGTTTTACGAGACATAAGGGCAGGAATTCAGAGGGAAAGGAGCAATTTTGAGCTCTGCTCTTAAAAACTGCTTTTTTTAAGGTCATACGTCAAACGCGTCATATTACATCACAAAGGGGACACATCTCCGCTATCTGACCGCGGGAATAGTTAGTAGTTGCGTTGAGCAGTTGTGTTGAGCAGTTGTGTTTTAGTGAGCTGGTATTTTTCTGTAGTTTTACACTGTATTTCACCATTTGCAGTATTGTGTTTGTGCAGGTTGCACAAATACCAGCCTGTCAGGACATCGAGTCCACTATTTCCCTAACAGGAAAAGAAAGCTGGCTAGCTTTCGGTCCTGGGTTTGTTTTGTGCAGACAAAGAGACGGGACTTCAATGCTGCGTATGTGACGAAATCTATATTGATATTCTAATGTAAATATGTGTAGCTCATCAACAGTCCTGCCAGTAACGTTACTATATTATCAATGCTACTTTAGTTATAGCCTGATATATGATAGCTAACTTTACAATGTTGTGATGTGACGTTAGCTAACATTCTGTAGCTAACGCCGATCACTCACCAAGATAGCTGCCCCTTCCCTGCTCTCCCCTCCGGTACAGCTGCGTGGAGTTGCATTGGGTAACGTTTATCAGGAAACAGTATTACATCTCTCTCCCCCCCTTCGCTGCTCTCTCCCCCCCCCCCTCCTTCCCTGCTCTCTCTCCCCTCCGGTACAGCACCGTAAGGTAGTGTGGATTTGCATTAGGTAATGCGAGATACGGCTGATACTTGCGCATTAGTCTAATGCGCAAGTATCAGCCGTATCTCGCATTACCTAATGCAAATCCACACTACCTTACGGTGCTGTACCGGAGGGGAGAGAGAGCAGGGAAGGAGGGGNTTTTATGTAACTCGGCTTTGTAATAAAAAATATTGCGAAACGAAAACAGCCAAGACTCGCAGCTTTTGGCTGCGCTAGCGAACCTTTCCTGATGATGCCCATGACCTGCCTTTTAACTGGACACAGAAAATATGGAGTGAGTGGAATGAAAGTTAACCATGGCTTTTCAAAAAAAAAAAAAAATGTGGATGTGAGATTTGCAAAGAGGCAAAAACTATATTGATCTCCCTGCCGCTCGCAAAAAAATCCACCTTTGTGCACCTTTCACAAGAATGGATTCAGGAAAAAGTCAGCTGTGATCAACAGAATAACCTGCGGAAAAAGATTTATAAGCACTAAGAGCCAGGCACAAGAAAAAGCGATCGAGATTTCGGAGATGAGAAAAAATATGTCCTACCAAACAAGGTAGGCCTATTGGCAATTGTTGGAGCGCTGAGGACGGTGGTCTGAAGCCCAGCTCGGCTCCGCGCGTCCCTTGATGAGCTGGTTAAATTATAAA